GGCGCCCCTACAGCGCGCTTTACGCTGATTTGGCGCCACGTGGGGTAAGGTGTGCCCTTGGAGCGTGCCTTATGCTGATGTGGGTACACGTGTGTAAAGAGCGGCCCTTGGGGCACGCCTTATTTCACGTATGGCAATAGCGCGGGTCAGGGGCCGCGCCTTACCTTTAATTCAATTATATATAGCGCGAGGCAGGGTTCGTGCCTTAGCTTTAACTGATATAATTATATAAGGCGCGATGCAGGTACCGCGTCTTGTATATTTATAGCTAATTTTCTCGACTATAAATACCCTTCTCCCCCGGTAAACTCCTCACATCTCCTCACATCTCCCCCTCCCAACTTATAAATTAATACAACAATTCCGTCAACGAGTCAATAATTCCAGCAATCTTCTCATATTTGATTCAGAAGTTCGTGCGATTTTTCGTTATAAGGTAATTTTGTTATAAATTTTTTTATTATACTTATTGTTTATTATGATTATTTGAAAAAATATTATACGTTTATATGTAAAAATTCTATTATGTTATATTTTCGTTAATATATTATTTATTTAATCAGGTTTGTTTCAGTTGTTTTTTGCATATATAATATTGTCGTACTTTTAAACTCAAAGAATGACGCGACTTTCAGCTATTGTTTATTATGATGGTGAAATTCGAGAAGATGAAACCGGCGTTGTTTTCGTATCAAATGAGCGTGTTAAAATATCATTCAAGAGAAACATAACTCTTGAGGAGCTGATAACGAAGATTTCTAGGAATGTTCATGTTGGAAGTAATAGAAGAATGTCGTCGTTGCAGTACAGATTTCCAACATCATTGTTGTATTAACTTATACAGCGTTCAAAGTTTCGAATAATGATGATGTTGAAGTGATGGTTGACTCTCAAAGTAATTATTCAGACGCCGATATTGAGATGTATGCAAATTTTGTTCAAGTGCGTGCTGCTTGGGGTCAGTCATTAAGCTCCCACTATGGGATGGTTGAACAAGTTGATCAAGTTGACAGCCTGACGAAAGTAATGTGTAATGATTTTAATGTCATAGTCAAATTCATCTAGATAAGACAAAAGATGTGGGCACTGTAGACACCCATAACACATATGTGATGAGGCTGCACCCGTCAAATATCCAGTATATGAACCCCAAGTAGGATCTGCAAACATAGACCCATAATATCCTCTAGGAGGGGTCATAAAACTCTGTGGCGGTGGCGGCATAAAACCAGGTGACGGTGGCGGCATCGGGTAAAGGAACAGCGATGGCGACATTACATATGGCTACGGAAGGTAAGTCACTGTAGACGGTGACTGCTGTGAAGGTCCTACTGGTGTAGCTGAGGATGAACCGGAAGCACTTGCTCTCCGTCTACGAGTCAGGGGACGATGGAGTTGTGTCGGTGAACGTCTCTGTCGACGTCGTTGAAAAGTCCGCCCTCGTGCATCCTCGGAAAGCAGAAACAGTTCCCGTTACTGTTGAACCACTCGTAATAACCGTCAGCAACCGTCAGCAACCGTCAGCAACTATCAAGAGGTCAGTAAAAATGGGCTCTCTAAGGGAAGGTGCCGATGTCGATCCTCCCACAGCACGACCCACTTGTGATGCCTCACCAGCCAATTTGTATCGGTCTTGCCGCGTCTATCTGTACTATGTAACTCGTCCATATTACGAGGTACTTTCGGAATTGGTTGAAAACAACCAAATTATCAGAGCACGCGATCAGTGGAGTGCCACTAGACGATCGCATAACAAATCAAAGGGACCATCGCCATCCAAACATCTAATGGGCCCCAAAACTCAGGTTGGATCAACATCCTCACATCATCATTAGAATATGACACCTATTCAAACTAAAACAAATATATATAATTTTTATCAAAATAATAATCTAATTATACAACTATAATCTAAAATCGATTTTTAAACATTAAAAGGCATACCTGTGTGCCAACCTTCTGATCGATTAGCACGCTCATTTTTTCTAAATCATCAGTTGTGCTATTCAACTCGTCCATATTGCAAGGTGCTTTCGGAATTGGTTGAAAACAACCAAATTGTCGAAGCACACGATCAGTGGAGTGCCACTCGACGATCGCATAACATATCAAAGGGACCATCGCCATCCAAACATCTAATGGGCCCCTCAACTCAAGTGGGATCACCATCCTCACATCATCATTAGAATATGACACTCATTCAAACTAAAACAAATATATATAGTTTTTATCAAAATAATAATCTAATTATACAACTATAATCTAAAATTGATTTTTAAACATTAAAAGGCATACATGTGTGCCAGCCTTCTGATCAATTAGCACCCTCATTTTTTCTAAATCATCAGGTAGCTCATGATGATTTTTCCTATCAGTAGACCACCTATTCAAGGAAAGAAATTATTATACACTGTATAAAATGATTAATATACGAAATTAGCTTTATAATTACCTCAATAGTAGTGGAAATACGAATGAGTTCTTGACAACAGGACATAAAAAGGGCAATCGATATCACGGCCAATACTGCAGCAGCAGGAGACATCCGTCGATAGCATTTTTTTCTGTAGTCAATCGCGCGACACATCTCCCTATATAGGAAAGCCAAAACTGTAACATCCTCCATATCGGGTTAGTGATCAAATTGTGAAATTTTAAAAATTTAGTTACCAAAGTAGATAAATGGAATAGTTGAAAGATTTAATGGGAATGTTTTATATAGGATGGATAAGTAAAGAATGGAAATTAAGAGGGCAAATGAGTCTTTTAGTAAGAGAAATAATTAAATATTACTTAAGGTTATTTAATAAACCACATGGAAGTTAGAAGAGAAGGCAAAAGTTTCCAGATTTCTCTTCTTCTTCTTCTTCTTCTTCTTTCTTCTTCCCCGTGAGACCAAGCTAAAGGTGAGTTTTCTTGTTAATCAAATTCTTGATGAATTTAAGGTTGCTTATTGATCATTGGATGATAACTAAGCTTAAGGAAAGCTTAGATTATCTTAAAACAATAAGATGAGGAGTATATGAAGGATTAAAGAAGGGAAGTAGAAAAGTGAAATCTTGTAATAGAGTTCATAATAAGAATTATAAGTGGGATTTGACTTGTCATCAAACTAATTAAGAAGCATGAAGTGTTAGAATTAAAATTTGAACATGTTAGAATTTGAGTGAGATTCTTAGATTCCATATAGAAGATTGGATTTCTAAGTTTTAGAAGTATGGAATGAATAATAATTAGTTTAAATAAGAGTATGCAAGTTAGGGATATAAAAGGAGGTGAAATATAAAGTGTAGAGAAGATTATAAAGAGATTTTCGTGCTTAAAATGACATTTTTGGGCTATGTGCATCGATGCACATTCAATGTGCACCGATGCATCAAGGATAAATCCTAGAAATTGTTTAAATACAAACATCGAATGTCATCGATGCATCGATGCATAAGGAGTGCATCGATGCACCCCCTTAAATATAAACATCGAATAGGATTTATGCATCGATGCATGGTGTGGTGAATCGATGCATATCTTCATTAAAAGATGAAAATAGATTTTCTTTTAGCCCAAAAAATGATAGTTAGAATTCATTCATTAGTATACTGATTAGCATCAATGAATTACTCTGTAGATACCGAGCCTAAACAAGTTCCAGAACAATTGCCTCGTAAGATCGATCGAGGAAAAAACAAGGAAATATAGGTGAGTGCATATGCATAGCATGAATATGTATTTTATTCAGTTCTAGACTTGTGATAAGTCTAGATTCAATATTTTGATACATGATCGCATTTCATATTATGATACATGATATGAATTCATATTATATACATTAAGTGACATGAATATGCAGGAAATGTTATATAAGTTATGTGATAAGGTGATGGAACATGATATGTTTATGTGATAAAGATATAGAAATTATATGTCTATACAATATAAATTATGGAAATGGTGGAAGCCCATGTTATGTAGATGAGAACTATAGGTATAGTTGGCAGGCCAAGAGTAGAAGGTCTACGCGGTCCTTCGGGACATATATGTATTCTGTGGAACATGTGTGAGGTCTTTTAAGACACATACTTGATCATTGGCATATGTATATGATTCTTAAGGAATTATCTATGTGGTCCTTAGGGACAATCTTATATGGCACTACGGTGCAATTCTACGTGGCACTTCGGTGCGTTTATACGAGCTGTGGTGACAGCATAGTGCACAACCTCACAACACTCACATACCTTAGGTTCTCAGTATGGTATCATGGGCCAATAATCTTATTAATATGAATTCAGGAATGTCAATATATTATGCTGACAGGTAAAGAACATGGTGATATAAACTGCATGGTTAAGCATTTGATTTTCATCTCATTCCATTTAATTATGGCATTTCCATTACATTTCTTTGTTATCATTATTATTATATTGCCTCACTAAGTCGATGACTTAGCGTGTGAGTGTTTCACACGTAGGATCCGAAATAGTAGACGATCAAGGTTAAGCAGTTGGACAACATTACTCCTGCAACTACCAGATCAGAGGGAACTTGAGCAGTAGGTCCTTTTGTTATGTAAATGAATGTTGACATGTAATCAAAGTGTCAAGTGGTGTATGCTCTGATTATTTTGATAAACTTGTATTAACATATGTATATTATTGTATTTTAATAATATAAGTTCAAATGTTTTATCGGTTTTTTTAGTATTGTTTTGTTTAGTTAATGTGACATCCTGGACTCGTATCCGGGTCGGGTATGAGTTAAGGGTGTTACAAAAACTGTCGAGCCCCAACTGAGTGGTCCGGCCAGATGAAAGTCGCCAAGATGTCACAACCACATAAAGTGAACTTGGTTACGCGATTTGTCTGGCATCAACAACCCTCCTATCAGCTGCAGTATGAATGCTCGTGCATACATTTTAACTTCATCATCAGAGGTGTACTTGTTCAACTCCCGAAAATTGGCATCTAATCAATTTAACGGTATCCGACCATCGTTAAAACTTTTCAGGACACGTCCTAGATAGTCCCAGCACAAAGCAATCCATGAACTGTGCGTCATCCCCGATATCACATCTCCGTACGGAAGATTGAATATGTGGGTCTCCGGCCTCCATCGCTCCACTAAGGCAGCAATAAGGTCTGGTTCTATCTTACAGTGACCCTCATATCTACCTATGTGACCGAATCCAGCCTCTACTAAATACGGCATGACACGGCCAGGTATCACTAACTTAAGATTCCTAATAAAAGGATCTAATATACGGTATCTCTCCTAAAATAAAAATAATTCCAAAAATTAATTTTTAAACTAATAATCATGTATTAAATAAATAAATAAATTATTACTAATAATTTAAAATAAATTAAAACGTTAAAATGTTACCGTATCAGCAAAATGCCGAGATATATGATTTGCATCCAAGCGAAGCAGACCGCCTTCCATTTTATATCTGCAAAAAAATTAATTAAATACAATGTTAAATAATTTAAATACTTAAATAAATTAAATACAAAATATTAAATATAATAAAATATATCTTAAACAGAGAATATAATATTTGAGAGAGATTGAGAGAAGTTGAGAGGATTTGGTGCGATGAAAGTGATTGAAGATTGAGGTATTTATAGGGAGGGAGGGGTGTGAACGGTCGGGATAGGTATGTAATTAAACCTAAGGCGCGCCGCAGGATGCGCACCTTTCTGATGCGTGTCAGATTTGTAGGGTGTGAATGGTCAGATTTGCAGTTATTGGCAATCACCCAGAGGTCTCCAACTTGGTTCGCTTGTTTTGCTGAAAGTGGTTCGGGTTTTGGAACCCCGGTTAAGGACCTTGGCGCGACGGTTGGGAACCCATTCGCTTCGAGCGTAGCCATGCATTGGCCCCAGTTGTTGATGAAATTTGAGAGTGAAAATGCATCTCCCAGGAGATGAGCCCAACTTATCCCTAGGGAAATTCCTCCACATTTGAACCAAGTGACCTGTTTAAAAATTGCAAATATAATTAAACTATATTTGATTATATTTTAACTCATTGAGTGGTCGGATTATTATTCTCTCTAGAAGGTTTATGTTTTAATAGTTGTATATATATATTATATTAATGACTAAAAAAATTCTGATCATGTACTAATTTTATAATTATCCCACATTATTAATTATAAATATATATATATATATATATATTAATTAATTCTTTATCATTCTACCTATAACAAGACACTCCCTAAAAATTTAGCGGACTTTTATATTGTAAAAAAAAACTGACACTAAAAAATAATCCAACATGAGAATGAAGTAACAGCAACATAAAAGCGAGTATATAAAATTTATAAAAATTTAAATTACTAGTTATTTTTAAAAAAAGTATATATATGTAGATATATATGATGTTATGTAAAAATACATAAAAATAAGTAGAATATACGAATGACCAGCCACCATGCATCATGATATAATACTTTTCAAGCCTAAAATTAGAAATAGATTTATTGAAGGAGAGAAGATCATAGTACCTGGAAGTAAACTAAAGGAGAAAACGTTAATTCAGGGCCGATGGCTCGATGATAAACAAGCGAATTCCACCTTGAATCGTCCTCCATTTCAAGCCATTCATCCATAGTTTTATCGCAAACACCTTCCACGAACCTTATGCCGCAATCGTTGCACTTTATGTACGGTCGACCCGACGGCTCCGATCTCCTGATCCTCCCACAGGTCATGAAGTAATCGTTGCACCAGTAAAACATGGCTTCTTTTATGCTCTTCACGTTCAGCCCTTCCGCCGCATGGCTGGTGAACAAGTACACGGCTTTGAGGTGGTGGAGTTTCATGGCTAAGTCAAGGCCGGTCAGGTCATGAACCACGTCCGAACCGGTGACTCGACCTGGTCCGACCGACGACAGCTTGATGTTGTAGACAAGATATTGGTGGGGAACCATGGTTTGTGTTTGAAAACCGGGAGATGGGACTTAAAAAATTGTTATAACGTTTGGAAATTTGATTTTGGAAATGGGTTATTTTGGGGTGCTTATAAATTGGTTCTTGAATCAGAATATAAATCTATTCCCCTCTGTGCCCTCATCCCTGCCTCCTACTCACTTTTTGGACACGCATTTACTTTAATAAATTGCTTTAAACCTTATTTGGTTTAATATTAGAAGTTTGATATTTTTCCTTCTTTTGTTTATCTATATTTTGAAATTTATTTAAATTTTCATTTTATAAATAATAAAGGGCAATAATAATAAATAAAAGATAAAAAATAAAATTAATTGATAATAACATTTTAAATATAATGTCTTTTATGTACGTTAATTTTCTTTTATTTGATGACACTTACAATATTTAATACAATATTACGTTAATTTTTTTCTTTTATTTATTATTATTATCCTTTATTAATTATACAATTAAAATTTAAATAAATTTCAAAATATAGATTATAACTTAATATAAGAAAAATAAGGAAAATCATCAAACTTTTAATATATTAAACCAAACAAGATTTAAAGCAATTTGGATAGGGGTAAAAATAAGGGCAGATTTATATTCCTTAAATCAAGGCCGATGGGGTGAGTTACACGTAAACATTAAAGTGGGTCATTTTCATTGATAGTTGGATGAAAATATTGGCCATTTCGACGTCGCATTAAATCTTCATCGGTTTGATGTAACAGGGATCAAAGTTGGAACCAGACGGTTAAGGTAGAGCTGTAAACGAGTCCAGTTTAAAATTATTAAATATTACTAGTATTAAAAACTTGTGAGTTTAAAATTGTTAAATTTGGCTCAAATATAAAATAAAAAATTGAAGTTTGGCTCAAGTCGAAATCTCATAAGCTTAAAAATTTTAATCTAAGTTCGACTCGAGTTTAAGAAAAACTCAAGCTCGAAACATTCTCAGGCCTTACTCGATTGAAACTAAAATTAAGCTCGGTTTAAGCTCAAACTCAAATTCGAACTTAAATATTAGGTTAATAAAAGTTTTATATTACATTTTAAAAATATATAAATATTAATAATATTAATAATTTAATTTAAAATTAATATATTATTAATTTAATTTAAGTACTCGAATTCGAATACGATGGCCGGTTTTAAGGAGGGGCTTTGGTTCTTGGTCGAAATAGATTAAAAGGGGGGCTTAGGTTTTTTGTTTGGCTTCGATTAGGGGTCGGTTCGACTGGTTTGGCGGCGATCGTCGGAGGGTTTGTCATTTGTGAAGCTCACGGTCGAGCTTCAAAGGAGAGGGAGAGAGCTGTTTTTGCTATAAAAAAAAAATAAGGATGAGGAACTTTTTGTGGCTAGATTTAGATTTTAGCCAAACATGGCAAAAATTATGTATATATAGCTTAGTTTTTGGGTAAACCACCCCTAAGTCCCTCTTGATTAGCCATTTTTTCACTTTCTAGTCACCTAGGATCTCATTTGTTCATTTATTCTGATTTGGTCACTATATTTCATTTTATTTCGATTTAGTCATCGTTTACATATTTCTGGCATATGAATTTAGTTATTGATCTTTTACATTATTTCATTTCAGTCACTAATTAGTTATGTTTTCTTTATTTATTTATGAATTTGATGCGATAATTTCAATTTATGCACTTCAGTCACTGATTAATTGAGATTTAGCTATTGTTTTAATTTTATTTTATTGCATTCTAGTCCTTGATATTAAAATATGAACATTAAATACTAATACAACCTCGCGATGATCCACCTTAGGATATGATTCGTTTTATTCATGGTCAGGGTACAATTCTATTTTTTTAACCGTTAACCTGTTGATTTTCTAACTCCTAACATCTAATTTGTATAAAATATATTTGAACCATTCTACGACCTCGAGATGACCCGTCTTGGGTATGATTTGCGTTATTTGTGGTTCAAGTGACAATTTAAATATTAACCACTAATTCATATTTTTATTGGATTCAATTAAATTTTGTTATTTAATTTGTACCATTTTAATTTTTTTTTATCTTAAATTAGCAATATTTGCATTTTAATCCTTTAATTTACAGCTTTAATTTCTTTCTATTTGGATTTTATATTCTGTTTATTTCAATTTGGTCACTACATTTATTTCTCTGATTTTGATTATACATTTCATAATTATTTCAATTTAGCCATTGTATGAAAATTTAATTTCCTTTTAATTTTGCTTGTCATTTCCATTTTATTTAATTTAGTCCTTGTTAGTCTATCTAGGAATTTATATTAAACCCTTAGATTTATAATTTTAACATTTTGGTCCAAGTTTAGATTAACATATCTTTAAATGTAGTTTTTCAATTTATATTCCTTTTGATTTATTCCCTAAAACCTTTATTTTAGATTCAAATCATAATTGATTAAAATTAATTAGGATTAATATTATATCCTTTTAGGCATAATTTCAAATTTGGTCCTTAAATTTAGGTGAATTCTTAATTTGATTATCTCTTTTGCTCGGGTTCCACTTTAATTATTTGAATCGGATAATTGATTAAAATTAATTATGACTAATATTAGAGCATTCACTTTAGGTTTAATTTCATATCTAGTCCTAAAATTTAGGGAATTCTTAATTTGGTACTCGCCTTTGCTCGAGGCTGCATTTTAATTATTCTAATCAAATAATTGGTTAAAATTAATTAGGTTAATAATTATAGCCTCCATTTTAGGCTTAATTTCACACTAGTCCTTAAATTTAGAGAATCTTTAATTTGGTCATCGCTTTTGCTCGATGTTCCATTTTATCTATTTGAATCAAATAATTGGTTAAAATTAATTAGGTTAATAATTAAAGCCTCCATTTCAGGTTCAATTTCAAACTTAGTTCTTTAATCTAGAAGAATTTTTACTTAGTCCTCACTTATGCTCGAAGTTCTATTTTGACTATTCGATTCAATAATTTATTAAAAAATGATAATGGTTAATATTAGATCCTACAGTTTTTTAGGTTTAATCCCTAGGTTCTTTAAATTTCGTAATTCGACACTTTAAGCTAGAGAGAAATTTTAATTAATTTAGTATAATTAGGTTCAGTAATTGATTGCTTGATTGCATTTGTTTTAAAAAATAACGCAATGTTCATTTATTAGGGAGTTAGTAGTGTATCTCTCGCTTTTGTCCGGGGTGACCGCTATCGATTCTCGAAGTAAATCAACATCTTTTTTAAAATCTTACATCATGATTTTAAAATTATTAAGACAATGTTAATTTATTGTTGTTAATAACGAAGCTTTCGCTTTTGCTTTGGGTTGGTCGTCATTATTTTCAAACTTTGCATACATAGCGATTTTTAAATTAAATAAAATTGTGAACTCAAAATTTGAATTTTAAAATATATGGTAATCGACTAGGTACCAATTTTGGGCGTTGTGTGATGCTAATCATTTCCTATACGTAACTGACTCCGAACCTGATTTCTGATTTCGTAGACCAAGATTTTGTATTTTTAGTAAAATAAAGTATGAATTCGAAGTTCGAGCAACTTATCGACCATAGACCAGAGCAAGAGAGAAATGTCTCACTATCATCATGGTCGTATAAGAGTATATTTTTTTAAAAAAAATAGATCATAATATTAGAATATAATATTTATTTAAAGTGTGTAGATACTCATTTTCGGCCGGGTTTTTTTAATTTTATTTTATTATATATATATATATTATAGTTTACAAATGATTTTTGAAATATATATATTATATGGTTTTGAAAATGATTTTTGAAAATATATATATTATAGTTTTGAAAACTATTTTTGAAAATATATAATATATAGTTTTTGAAAACATTTTGAAAATATATATAATATATAGTTTTTGAAAATATTTTAAAAACATATATATAATACATAGTTTTTGAAAACTTATATAATACATGGTTTTTAAAAACATTTTGAAAACTTATATAATATATGGTTTTTAAAAACATTTTGAAAATATATGGTTTTTAAAAATATTTTGAATATATATATATATATAATATTGTTTTTAAAACATTTTGAAAACTATATAATATATAGTTTTGAAAACTTTTTTAAAATATATATATATATATAATATATAGTTTTAAAATATTTGTAAATATATTTATTATTATTATTATTATTATTACTATTTTTTATTTTTTTATTTTTTGATTTATTTTCAAGTCCAGTTCAAAGTCCAGCAAAGGCCCCGTAGGAAACACAATAGGGTAAGCCTAACCCAGCATACCCGATTAGGTGGGCCTGACCCAGCCCAAATTCCAAAGTAGGGTTTCAACATTAAGCATTGCGCCGCATGGGAGAGCGCATGGCGATCACGTGCCAGCACATTTCGTAAACTGACCAGATTTTCGCATGGTCGGTGTAACCATCTACACGAACATCACTCGGTCGAACGGCCAACGAAAGAATCGGGTGGAGAGCCCACCCATCTCAGAGCAACAACGGTCGGATTTCAGGCTATAAAAGCTCCCCGCGGCGGTCGGCATGGCGGGGAGGCCACCAGGCGGTGGTTGGCTATCGTGGTTGGTTGGGATGGGTTGAGAGCATCTCTCGGTTGGGGAATATGAAGTTTAGGGGAAAAGTTGGAAATGAAATGAAATGGGGTATTTTGACACATTTATATACGGAGAATATTTGTGTAATTAAAGGATAGTTAAATCTTTTCCACCCTTTTCCAACTTTTGATGTGTAATTCATATTGGTCACATGTTTCAATTTTGTCTCTAAATTTTCAATTTAATCAATTTAATCCATGTTTACATTTTTTTATATTTTGCAAATTGACCTCCTAACTCTTTATTTTTCTCTTGCAACTCATTTTTTAGTACCAATTTAATCCATCAATTTCAATTTATTTCAATTCGACCCTTTAATTTTTTAGTTATTCATTTTCATTTTAATTTTAGCATTTTTTAATTTAGTATGTTTTTATTTATTTATTTTTTGCTTCTTATTTTT